CTTAAGTGCTTATTTGAAACACTCAGCACCTGATTACAGATATTAATGTTTCTTGGACAAAGGACATTAGAACAAGTATCTTGCCCTAGGAAGTGTTGGAAAACAATAGCACTTTGTTTGAAGTGCTACAAATATCTACACACATCTTTTACTCCTCATCCTTGTAATTCCTAGGGTGTGTTTTTTAATCCAGTAAACAAACTAATTTTATAGTCGCCCTGACAAAAATTTTCATCCGTATGTTAGCTTTCACCACCCCCTTTCTCCTCTGAAACAAGTCTCAGAACGTTTCTGATAGTACTTATTTTACTGGTCCATTATCTTTGCACTTAACTACTGTTGTTATTTGCCTACAGAAGCTTTGCAGCATGAAGGGAGATGCTGCCTAGGAACCCATATCCAAGTGACTCTAACTGCTTGAAAAGGAAACTTACGATCAGGAGAACTGCAAGTTGTGTAGAATGTCTCACCAGAGGGTATGTCACTTCCTGACACAGTGTAGGATCTGTATCTAGGCTCTCCCCAGTGTGCTGGAATTAAACAACCAAAAAAACAAACCAAATGAAGACAGAATCTACACTTGCTGTTAAATACCTCTCACAAAGGCACATATGTAAAGTACTGATAACTGTTTGCTGCTTGTCTTAAGTGCTTATTTGAAACACTCAGCACCTGATTATAGATATTAATCTTTATTGGACAAAGGACATTAGCACAGGTATTTTGCCCTAGGAAGTGTTGGAAAACAACAGCACTTTATTTGGAGTGCTACAAATATGTACACACATCTTTTATTCCTCATCATTCTAATTCCTAGGGTGTGTTTTTTAATCCAGTAAACAAACTAATTTTATAGTTGCCCTGACAAAAATTTTCATCCCTGTGTTAGCTTTCACCACCCCCTTTCTCCTCTGAAACAAGTCTCAGAACGTTTCTGATAGTACTTATTTTACTGGTCCATTATCTTTGCACTTAACTACTGTTGTTATTTGCCTACAGAAGCTTTGCAGCATGAAGGGAGATGCTGCCTAGGAACCCATATCCGAGTGACTCTAACTGCTTGAAAAGAAAACTCACCATCAGGAGCAGGACCATGTGGTGTACTGACTCCATGGGGTACAAATGAAAGCCGAGAGGGTCCTGTTCAGAGAAAGTAAACTTTAAAAAGCAAGGAAATGCACAGAATTGATATTATTATGGTTGGAAGGAAAGGCTGTGCTGGTTCCAGACACAGTATGGGTCTGTAGGGTGACACACCAGAGTTTATGGCGCTTCCAGACAAAGGGCACGTTATGTACAATGTCCCAGCAGAGGGTAACTCAGATGCTGAAAAAGTGTAGGTTCTCTGTCTAGGCTCGCCCCAGCGTACTGGAATAAAAACAAAATAAAAAACAAATCAAGAGACAATCTACATTTAAAGTACTTAAAAGTGTTTGCTTCTTGTCTTAAGTGCTTATTTGAAACACACAGACAAAGGACACACAAACACAACTGAAAAAAGACAATAGTAAAAATATCCTTCCTAAGGAAGTGTTGGAAAACAAGAGCACTTTTTTTGGAGTGCTACAAATACTTACATCTTTTGCCTCTCATCATTATAATTGCTACAGTGGGTTTTTAAATCAAGTAAACAAATGTATTCTATAGTGTCCCTTTCACTGTTTTTACGGAACATATGTCCTGTTAGCCACAGAAGGGAGTCCTTTACATTTGGAAGTATTTCAGCATCAATTGAAATCAACACTTCATACTCTTCAAATATTAGTCAGGCATATTGTTACAGGCAACATTTAAATTAAATTACTGTAATATTCAAGTATCTTACAATAGTGTGACAACTTAAAAGTTCACATACCTAGACTACTGAGTACCAAACAGTTTTGCATAGAAAAATACCAAATAGAAACTATGGGGTTGAACTACTGTGTTTCTAAACACCTTGTCCTAAGTTACATAATGTGATTTATAAATTTCATATTGTTATTATTTTAAACTGTGTGATTTATACTATTGGGTTACCAGCACTACTTGTGTAGTAAAGCCATGTGATAAGGAGAGCATTTATACCAGGATAGCTGCATTCCTTGGCTATGCAGTCATGTTGGCAAGTGACACTCAGTCGATTAAAATCAGGTAAAAATTGCAAAAAGTAGTTTTTGGGAGACATCACAGCTTGTGTATTCAGCATTAAAGACACTTCCATCTTTGTAAACATTGTTAATAGGCTTTTCTGGTTTTGCCTGTACTGATACAGGCAAATACTGGTACATTTTTTCATGTCTATGATCATCTCAATAGGAAAATTCTTTTTTGTGGCCTATCTGTGTTGGTTTTACATGGGTTAATTTTGGTAAGGAGGGACGAAGCCAGCCATGGAAGTGGTATTTCTGTGAGGAGCTAAAAGCTTCCTTTGTGCCTGGCAAAACCAATCACTGTCTGCCTTTGAGAAACAGGCACACTGCTAAGCCAATTACAAAAGTGGGTAATGCTTCTATGATAAATTATTTACAAAAGACAAAACCTTGGGAAGTCTCTTTTTCTTCCTTGGAGGGGTTGGCAGGCAGCAGAACCCTCCCAGTCCGGGGTGGGCCATGTGGCCAGGACTGTGAGGCCAAGATTGGCACATGTGGCTGCGGCCATCTTGGGAATGGCTCGCAGGCGACTTCATTTGTTTAGCCAGACAGAAGGGCACAGTGGTGGCAGCTGCTTTGTTTTTCCTTTCCTGCATTCAGCTTGAAGAAAGGTGCTGAGTGGAGCCGGCAGCCGGCGCGGCCAGCATGGTGCTGGCGGGAACCACGTGAGGCATGGTGAGCAATTCCCCAGTGTGGAGCCCACATGGGATCAACCTTTTAATGCTGCAGAACCCTTTAAAAACTTTTCAACTGATAGAACTTGAGAACAAGAGAACCTATGGACACCAGTCCTCTCTCAAGTCAGAGAAAAGAAAAAGGTGAAGACCCATGAGGAGAACAACATGGTGACACTAAGGTCAGTAGAAAAGAGGGAGGGAGAGGAAGAGGTGCTCTGGGCCTTGGGGCTGAAATTCTCCTGCAAGCCATGGTGAGGACTACAATACAACAATTTATTTCCCTTTAATTCATGAAGTGCATGGGGGAATGCAGAATTCACCCACAGCCTGTGAGAAAAAGGTGCTCACGCTAGAATGCGTGGATGCTGAGAAGCTGTGATCTGGTGAAAAACTTGAACTGAGAAACCTTGCTTCCAGAAATAGAAGGAAAAGATTCTTGCTTAAAGTAAAACCCCATGAACTAAAGGGCTCACAAAATAAAATAGCAGCTGAGGGAAGACTGCTTTGCCTGTGTGAGGGGCTCACATTGCAGCAGATTTGGGTGGGACTGCCACGCCTAAAAATTAAAACCACGTTGAAAAAGTTCATAGAGCTGTCTCTCATGGGAAAGAGCCCATGGCACAGACGAAGACTGCTCTCCCTAAGTGAATTGAAAAAAGATTTTTAGAAGTGACAAACTGACTAAAAACCTCATTGTTTCTGTCTCCCTGAGTTGTCAGTAGGAAGGAAAGAAGGGCTGGGGGAGGGGAGAAGTGTTTTCAGTCCTCGTTATCCTTTAAAAATTCTGTTAATAGATTTTTCTTTATACATTTTATAAATTTTTCATTTTTGATCCTGTTTTGCCCCTGACATATTTTTCTCCTAATCCTTATCTTACCTTATTGGTTTTTAAATTTTTCCTTCCTCCTCTTCTGCTCAACTATGGCAGAGGAGAAGTAGTAAATTATTTTTTCATGGGTGCACTGGCATTTAGCCAATGTCAAATCTACACTATATCATATTTTACTTGACTTATTGTCACTGAAAGAACATTCACATGTTTCAAAGCAAATAAATCATCCAGTACTAACATTACTAAGAAAAGTTACAATTATTTGAAGTCCACAGTTACTTAATTCTGTCCCACACCATTCCCATGGAAAAAAAGCAAGACAGAGGGTAACAAGAAAAAAAGCTAGTCTGACAAATTTCTACAACACCAGAGAAAATAAAGTTCAAAAAGCAAGGGAATCCAATGGACTGACATAGTTATGGTTGCAAGGAATGGCTATTACAAAATTGCTAATGGCTTAAAACCAAAAGAAAGGAAAAAGCCTTTAGAACAAACAAAACAAACAAACAAACAAAAAAAGAAAAAATAAACCAAAAAAGAAAGAATTTAAAAACAGTAATAAAAGAAAAAAATCAAAATCCAAACATCCACCCACCCGCCACCAACACTCCCCAAAACCAAAAAAATCCAACCAACCTAGTAACCAAACACAACCAAAAATAAAAATATCGAAACAAATGGGGACCACTGGAAACAACGAAACTACAAAAACTTAATTACAAAAAATTACAAAAATTTTAATCCCTGTGTTAGCTTTCACCACCCCTTTCTCTTCTGAGAAATGTCTCAAAGCATTTCTGTTACCATTAGTTCTATTAGTCCATTAGGTTAACATTTAAGTATTGTTGTATTTGCCTACAGAAGCTGTGCAGTATGAAGGGAGATGCTGCTTCTGAATCCACGTCCAAATGACCATATTTGCTTGAAATCAGACTTACCATCAGGAGCAGGTGCAGCAGCTGCTGGTGAAACAGGAGGCTGAAAAATATCTGTTCAGTAAAAGAAAGTTTTAAAAAGCAGGGAAATGCACAGAACATAAGTGGTTATGGTTGCAAAGAAAGGCTACTACAAAATGTTAATGGTTTATAACAGAAAGGAAGGAAAAAGCCCTAGGTTAAGGGAAAAAAAAAGAAATTACAAGAAGTAATAAAACAAAAAAACCCCAAAACTCAAACATCCACCCACCAACCACAACCATTCCCCCAAACCAAAAACATACAAGAAATCAAGCATTCAAACTCAAAACTAAAACAAAACAAACAAACAAAAAAGCCAAGGAAATGGGACCAGTAAAAAAAACCCATTACAGTAGTAATTTAAATCCCTGTGTTATTTTTCACCAACCCCTTCTGAAAAAAGGGTCAGAACATTTCTGTTAGCACTACTTTTAATGCTACATCACATTTACAATTACGTAATGTTGCTTTTGCCTACAGAACCTGTGCAGTATGAATGGAGATGGTGTCTGAGAACCTACATTCAAGTGACTTAAAATTGCTTGAAAAGCAGACTTACCATCAGTTTCAGGAGGATGAGGTGCAGCAGCTCCTCTGAGCCCAAACTGAGGCTGAAAATATTCTATTCAGTGAAAGTAAAATTACTTCAGAGAAAATTCAGAGTAAAATTCCGAGAAAGTAAATTTTAAAAACCAAATATTTGCACAGGACTGAAAGGGTTGTGTTTGCACTGATAGGCTATTACAAGAATCTTAATGATTTACAAAAGAAAGAAAAGAAAAAAGCGAGGGAGGGAAGGAGGAAGAGAGGAAGGGAGGAAGAGAGAGAGGGAAGGAGGGAGGAAATTAAAAATGGTAATAAAAATATCAAAAATCAAACGGCCATCCACCCACTGACCCACCAAAACTGTCCAAAACCAAAAACATACAACCTACCAAGCAACCAAACCCAAATTAAAACCTAAAATATGCAACCAAATTTGGATCAATAGCAAGAAAAAACAATCCAGTAGTAATTTGAATCCCTGTGTTAGCATTCACCATCTCCTTTCTCTTTTGAAAAAAGTGTCAGAATGTTTTTGTTGGCAGTAGTTTATTGCTTACAATTAAACACTGTTGTATTTGCCTACAGAAGCTGTGCAGCATAAAGGGAGATGCTGGCTCTGAACCCACAACTCATTGACTAAGATTCCTTGAAGAGTGGACTTACCATCACTGAAACGAGCATGAGCAGGTGGTGTTCTGGCTAGTTGGTAACCAACGCGACCCCAAAAAGATTCTATGTAGAGAAAATAATTTAAATTAAAAAAAAAAACAAGGAAATGTGCAGCACTGAAATGGCTGTGTTTGCAAGGAAAGACCATTACAAAAATACTATTGATTTATAACAGAAAGGAATGAAAAAGTCTTTGGAGAAAAAAGAAAGGAAAGAAAGAAAGAAAGAAAGAAAGAAAGAAAGAAAGAAAGAAAGAAAGAAAGAAAGAAAGAAAGAAAGAAAGAAAGAAA